CTTTCATTAAATGTTTCAAATTTGATAATTTTTTCTAAATGACTAGAGCAAAAAAATTACATACGACTTTAATCTTCATATAGGGTAGCCTTTGGTTACTATCCGACATCCTCGATAGTCCAAGGATTTTTCCTCACTTACGCTATCTGCACCCCTGGGATATGTCATAGCAAAATCGAAGGCACAAAGATAGTGGTTTGATTGGTCTCCGGATATAAAAACCTGACCAATCGCCAGACTGAAACCTGACCGTGGAAGAATACAGAGGAGCAACACCCAACTTCAAAGCCAGTCATTTTTACCACTACGCAATCGCGAGACACTTTTCGAAACTACTCTTCTGCTCCCATCCACTAGGTGGTGCATTGAGCCTTCAATTTTGCTATGACATATTCCAGGGGTGAAGAGAGCGAAAGTGAATGTAACCCCTGGATATTGAGGATGCTGTCTGACAGCCTTCTTCAAGCCTACTGACAGGGGGACAGGCTTAGTGGTGTTCAGTCACCTTGCTAGGGAATATTCCCAAGCTATGACTGAACAAAGACGGCATAGGCAGCAGACAGGATGTGATATAATCTATCCTTGTTAGTCTCCCACTTGTTCCTGGGGTGGAAAAGAGGGTAGGGACTACAGGTTTTCACACTGTCCATCCATATGTTGAAAGATTTTGTCCGGGGCATATCTTTTATGCAATTTCAGCTGGGGTACCAGATTTGGTATCAAGTTCTGTGAATTATGGTTTGACCTTTTGACTTCAACATTTGAAAAAAGCTTGACCAAGGCATATACCAGGAAACTTTTGCCCAATCAAATATGTGCCCTTTGCCGATAAAATCCTTGTTTGCCAAGTATTAATTTCGCCTTTCACATGTATTCGTGTACTGTACTGTTGTTGGGAAGAACAAAATAAACGAAGATTAATGTATATATATATATATGCAGCAAAATTTTCCCAGAACAGGATCTTATGTACTATTTTAAATTGGAGTACCAGGTAATCAGATTTGACATGCAAGTACGTCTCAGAATGATTGAGTTGGAGGTACGAAAAGTAGGTCACTGTGACCTATGGTTTGATCTTTAACCTCAACCTTTGAAAACAACAAGATTTGGTAATATGCAAGTACAATGTTGAAGTTTGAGAAGGTCGCCGTGATCTTTGAATTTGTCCTGTTATTCTCTGGGCATATCCTCTTTACCATTTCACCTGAAAGTATATCGAAGGATGGCGAAGTGCACAGTCAAGAAGTAGGTCCCTTTGACTTATGCTCTAACCTTAACCTTTGATTTTTAGCTCACCTGCCCGAAGCATCTTTGGGGGAAGGGGAACCAATTTTGTTTAAATGGTGGGTGTGGCCCACCTGGGGGCTGAGGGGCGGGGCCCAATAGGGGAAATATAGCAAATTCTTTAAAATCTTTCTCCTTCTGAAGGAATGAAAGGATTTGTTCCATATTTGGTCAGAAGCATCCTTAGGGGAAGATGAACCAATTTTGTATAAACTGTGGGTCTGGTCCCCCAGGGGCCTGAGGGGCGAGGCCTAATAGGGGAAACATAGCAAATTATTCTTTAAAATCCTTCTTCTTCTGTAGGAATGAAAGTATTTGGTCCATATTTGGTGTGGGTCATCCTTGGGTAAAGGGGAACAAATTTTGCATAAACGGTGGGTGTGGCCCCCCTTTGGGGCTGAGGGGCGGGGCCCAATAGGGGAAATATAGCAAATTCTTTAAAATCCTTGTTCTTCTGTAGGAATGAAAGGATTTGTTCCATATTTGGTCTGAAGCATCCTTGGGTGAAGAGGAACCAATTCCGTATAAACCGTGGGTCTGACCCCCCAGGGGCCTTAGGGGCGGGCCAAATAGGGGAAGCATAGCAAATTATTCTTTAAAATCCTTCTTATTCTGTCGGAATGAAAGGATTTGGTCCATATTTGGTGTGGAGTATCCTTGGGTAAAGGGGAACAAATTTTGTATAAACGGTGGGTGTGGCGCCCCATGGGACCTGAGGGGCAGGCCCAATAGGGGAAATAAAGGTAAAACTTTTAAAATCCTTCTTCGAACATCGGGATTAAGGGATTTTATCCTAATTTGGTCTGGAGGATCCTATGGCCAAGGGGACTCAATTTTGTATAAGCAGTGGGTGTGGTCTCCAAGGGGGCAGAAGGACGGGGCCCAATATGGGAAATAGAAGTAAATCTTTAAAATCCTTCTTCTACCATAGGGATGAAGGGATTTCTTCCAAATTTGGTCTGGAGGATCTTGGGCAAAAGGGACTCAATTTTGTATAAACAGTGAGTTTGGCCCCCCCTGGGGGCAGATTGGCAGGGCCCATTAGGGAAAACATAGCAAATTCTTCAAAAACCTTCTTCTTCTGTACGTATGACAGGATTTTGTCCAAATTCGGTATGAAGCATCCTTTGGTGAAGGGGAACCAATTTTGCATAAATGGTGTGTCTAACCCCCCTGGAAGCAGAGAGGCGGGGCCCAATAGGGGAATTATAGGTAAAACCTTTAAAATCCTCTAATCTACCATAGGGATTAAGGGATTTTATCCTAATTTAGTCTGGAGCATCCTTGGGCCAAGGGGACTTTTTGTATAAACAGAGGGTATGACCCCCCTAGGGGCATAGGGGTGGGGCTCTGTTTGAAGTTTGTTCTTGCTATTTCTCAAGTATTGGATGGATCTTTCTGAAATTTCATAGTACTTTCAGCACCTACCATTGAGTGTTATATCTTTACTTCATACCAATTATTTTAAACACATTCAGGTGAGTGATACAGGCCCACTGGGCCTCTTGTTTTTACTTGTCATATATCCTATACTATTTCACCTGAATTATCCAAATCTAGTATGCATGATTATCTTTTGATGGCAGAGTATATTTTATTAAAAGAAGGTCACTGTGATATATGCTTTGACCTCAGTCATTGTAAATGTTTTCCAAAGCTGATCTTTCTGATTTTAATTCTACTCGAGTAACCAAATTTGGTATGCAGATATCCCAAGAGGACAGAATTTGCTGTTCCAAACAAAAGTCAGTGTGATCTTTAATTTGACCTCTGATGATAATCATTGGAAAATGTTCCCTATTCTGTATCACGATACTTTCTTTACAATATGTTGATCCTGAGATAGGTGTACAACTTTGTAAATAAAGAAATCTTTATTGGTGGGGGATAATGGATTGCATTGCAATACTTGGCCATGTTGAGGTTGGTCTGGAGGCAGTAATGAATATCGCCTCCTTGACCCTCTGTTGGAACCAGCGCAGGTCCTGGTCCAACACTCAGTTGTTGTCCCTGCTAACTGTTGGATTGATCTTGCATGAGGGCTTTTACAGGTGGTGTTTCAAACCCCATTTCTGTCCCCCCCACACATGATACTGGAAAGTATGCAATCTTTAAGAGTGTAGATGGCACCAGACAGGTCTATAGTAGATGTATTGTCTATGGGAGCCACCAATATACCCCCGATGGTATTTTGGGGTTCAGTATTAATTGTCATCTCCACCATGCAGTTTTTTTCTGGTGATTACCTCCATACAAGTGTCATCATACAATAAGCACACATGCACTTTATGCCAGGTGAGCATACCTGATGGCCAGAAAGCCTGATTCCTCACCTGGATACAATATTTAAGCAATTATGGTATATTCTCATCGAAAGTAATACAGGAAATATTTCCCTATTCTGGATTCCGTTTCTCAGCAACCTGGGCTAATATTCAATACCTAGGTCCAAAGGATGTTCATAACAAGTTTGATGACCATGGTACTTGATGGGTTGAGAAGGAATTCTTAATATAACAATCCTGGTTGTTAAGATCATTAATTATATCAAAGGAGGATACAAAAACATTAATTCATATCAGATTAATTTTCATTTTATTTGATGTGTTTGGAAATGAAACATTTACAAATGGAATGATAAAAATAGATACATGTGTAGTGTAAAACAGCTCTTTGTACTTGCACGTCATTAAAATATAAAAGGTACCTCTATCCAATGAATGAAAATCATGAAAATTTCATTATAAATAAGATCGTTAAAAAAAGGGAAAAGACAATTAATAAATAAACATTCTTTCTTCAGATCAATGCTCACAAACACTGCTCATGCTGTTGACACAATCCAATGTCACTCACACACTTCAAATATACCTTTTATTGAATAAAACCCAATAGATGCAGCTAGCTGTTTATGTTATCACACTATCTGATGGTACTAATAGCTCTAAAAGTTGTTTTCAGGATGGCCCCCTTCCCTTTATCTATTCCAAAAGTTTACCGTATACACTAGAGGACTTGAAGGCAAATCACAACCCCCCCCCCTGGGGTCTGATTGGTCGTTTGGTTGAGGAGATCTGATATATTGTGATGTATGAGAACGCATTACGTGGTTGTTAGTTTCTATACCAGTATAGCATCTGTCAGCTGTCTATACAACCTCCGCAACCTAAATACTACAGCATACTGTAAATCAGACATAAGGACTCTTAATAATTGCTCATGTAAAAACAAATACAGATACTATAAAATGTCACTAGGGCCATTCTTGTTAGGTTATGACATATGAAAATCCAAACTGACCTGCTAAACCCGTGGCAGGCAATACACCTTTGGACAAAGACATTTGATTAGATCAGTGCACTAGTTCAACTATCTGTTAAATCTACATGGCCTCCTGTAGTCTATCACAGTGGGGGATGTATTAGATATTTTACACAATTACACCAAACTAATCTACTATCTGGTATACAGAAACATATACCTATCACATTTGACAATAAATGTTCTTAACAATAAACAAAATATTGTTCTTAAATAATGCAGCAGTGTAATTTTCATATCAAGATTACCATAAAATAGTGAAATCACCATTGCAAAAAAAATCTTTATGTCATGAATCGATTACAAATGTTGTTTTTAGAAAACTGAAAATAAAGATATACCTATGCACATGAAATTACATAATTACATATATAATATGTATTATATATTGCATTACATATATACAAACAATTACCGCTACAATATATCATGTAATTGCATGTACATGTATCATAATATTTTCAAGTTACATGATAAACATTCAATTTGATTGTCTGTGACTGAAGGTGAGTATAAGATCCTACTAATTAAACAGCCTTCCTTCCATGTAATCCTTACAACAACAATCTCTATGTCAAAAACATATTCCAAAGTAACTGGTAGACGCTAACATGGATATTATCATTTCAGATTTGCTATGAAGTTTTTCCCTAAGACTGGTTGTATATGTCACTGAGACAAGTTATATCAAATCAGTAAATCATCCCACAGGTAATATTAACATAACAGCTGTAACATTGTAAAAACAGTATAACCACATTACCATGTTCATGATTACTGAACATTCTTACATGGTGCGTTACGGCCAAATGTTTACAATCACAACAACAACTGATGACAGATAAAGTTATCCTGGTGATCCTTAATTCTTCACAGATTAGAAAAGCTAACACTTGGATGTGTTACAAGTTTTCTTAATGGCTAAGGTGTTGGGTTATCTCTTTAAAAAAATGCTGTGTCCATGATTGTTGTAATAAATAAAAGTAAACTGGTCTTTTAATGTTGTTATCAACCAAGTCTTCAATGATACAACTCATGAATTTACTCACCAGGTTCAGCTGTCGACCTGCCACACAGTAGGTCATTTCCCCACCATAAACTGGATTACCATAGAAAATTTAAGGACAAGTTCATCTCACATCAACACAAACAGAGACTTTCTCTTTCTTTACATAAAAGCTCTTCACATGATTGGATTATTTATAAAGAACACAGATTTTGCTCACAAAGTTTACCTCACACAAACATTCTTCTCTCCACAACTCTTCAAAATATTGGAGGTACCAAATAAAATAGTAACAGCATGAAATAATGGTAATACTGTAAAATTCCTATGAGAAATAATTGGTTAAAGTACCATATATAACCACACTAATGAGGACATATTTTGACAACTTATATTGTTACTTCTAGCGTAACAAAATTTCCGGATTTATCAAACAATTGATGTCAGTTAAGTAATGGAGTTCTGGTCCATGAGTAAAGTCAGTTAAGTAATGGAGTTCCTGTCTATGAGTGATGTCAGTTAAGTAATGGAGTTCCTGTCTATGAGTGATGTGAGTTAAGTAATGGATTCCCTGTCTATGAGTGATGTCAGTTAAGTAATGGAGTTCCTGTCTATGAGTGATGTAAGTTAAGTAATGGAGTTCCTGTCTATGAGTGATGTTGGTTAAGTAATGGAGTTCCTGTCTATGAGTGATGTAATTTAAGTAATGGAGTTCCTGTCTATGGTTGATGTCAGTTAAGTAAAGGATTCCCTGTCTATGAGTGATGTAAGTTAAGTAATAGAGTTCCTGTCTGTGGGTGATGTCAGTTAAGTAATGAATTCCCTGTCTATGAGTGATACCAGTTAAGTAATGGAGTTCCAGTCTATGAATGATGTCAGTTAAGTAATGGATTCCCTGTCTATGAGTGATGTCAGTTAAGTAATGGAGTTCCTGTCTATGGGTGATGTCAGTTAAGTAATGGATTCCTTGTCTATGAGTGTTGTGAGTTAAGTAATGGATTCCCTGTCTATGAGTGATGTCAGTTAAGTAATGGAGTTCCAGTCTATGAATGATGTCAGTTAAATATTGGTTTTCCTGTCTATGAGTGATGTCGGTAAAGTAATGGTTTTCCTGTCTATGAATGCTGTCTATAATAAATGTAATGAAGTCCATACAAACAGAATGGTTGTTTTAATGTACAAAAACATGCTCATGGCTTGTTTGTCATTTTTTATAAGATGCAGGTGTAGTCCAAATGATCAATTAAAATTATATCATGTACACCTTTTCATCAATAATTAAAAAGGAAAAAAGACATTCTCTCTATTTTTCTCTCCAATGCAAAAGATGTCAGAACAATGGCTTGTGTTGTCTAAGTAATGTACTGAAAGACACTTTTTGGTTCACTGATATCACTCAAACATAAAGAAAGTAAAAAAATTCAATAAAATTAAACTCATAGTAAAATTACATAAACTGTACATAATACATGTAAAAGCCACCAAAACTGATTCTTTGATTCAACATTATAGGACTTTCACTGCACAAAAGTGTCATGAAAACTGTAGATTTGCACTAAATGTGTCATTTAAGTTGTAGAAAATATAGAAATATTGCACCGAGAGCACCACATTGTTTTGATAATTTCTGTCCTGTCTGTGCACTGTTACAATGTGTGTGATAACCTTGATCCTACCACACTGCTATAACGGGTCTGATAACCTTGGTCCTACCACACTGCTATAACAGCTTATGTGCTTCCGTAGAGTCTGTATTGTAATATTGTCGGAATACACGTTCATCCTTACAACACATCATGGCATGATATGTATGAATTAAAAGTCTTGGAAAGCGTGAGGTAAAGTATAACACAAACTGGTCTGGCACTGCTCCAAGGGAATTCTTCACATTGTCAGGCAGCTCTCGATAATGGTGTTTCTGCAATGGTTTTATAAAGATTTGTTATTTTTTCATTTTCATCCTCTATGTGATGATAATGTGGCAACAGTACAAACAAGAGGCCAATGGGTCTAAACGGTCACCTGTCAAGTCTGCATTTACCATGGGAAGACCCCAACATTTTGGTTCAATGCCAAATGATCCTTTCAAAACACTTGCCATCAAGTTCCTGTTAATCAAATACCCATAAATACCAATTTTCAGCGAAATATTGTTTAATGTCTAATTTTTGATATTAGGTTAGTTCTGTATAACTACAGAATTTTAAGAAAGATCTGTCCAATACTTCCCGAGAAATATTGTTTAATGTCTAATTTTTGATATTAGGTTAGTTCTATATAACTACAGAATTTTAAGAAAGATCTGACCAATACTTCCCAAGAAATATCGACAACAAACTTTGACCTTGAAATCCAAGATGTCTACCTTGAGACCATATAAGTATTCAAATCCATGAACAAAAGTGATGGTACACACCTAAGACCTAAGGGAACTTTAAGTTTTTCCTGAGAAATGGTGATGGTGAGAATTGTTTACAGACAGAAGGACAATTGGACCACTTGAAGAGCCAACCATCTGATCATGGTGGGCTCAAAAGACTTTTTGACATGTTGTAATGAAAATCCTTGTTATACCTAAACACATGTTTTCATATAAGTGCTTGATACTGTGACAAGATTTGTTATAATGAAAAGGTGACTCATAGCAAAAATGCTTGTTCTAACAAAAAGGCATGCTTCAATAAAAAGGCTCAGTTAAACAGACTATTTTTAGTTAATGTGCTTTAGTTATAAAGCAAGTTGTCTCTGATTGACATATTTACCATATAGGACGGGGGATATATGTGTTGATCTTATCATCACAAAGCTTTGTTGATAAACTGGCCAGTTTTTTTCGTAATACAGTAAGCTCGATAATACCATACTTACTTTGTTTCTCATAGCTCTGAGTAAGTCTCTCACATCTTATCATCACAAAGCTTTGTTGATAAACAGGCCGGTTTTTGTCGTAATACAGTAAGCTAGATAATACCATACTTACTTTGTTTCTCATAGCTCTGAGTAAGTCTCTCACATCTTATCATCACAAAGCTTTGTTGATAAACAGGCCGGTTTTTGTCGTAATACAGTAAGCTAGATAATACCATACTTACTTTGTTTCTCATAGCTCTGAGTAAGTCTCTCACATCTTATCATCACAAAGCTTTGTTGATAAACAGGCCGGTTTTTGTCGTAATACAGTAAGCTAGATAATACCATACTTACTTTGTTTCTCATAGCTCTGAGTAAGTCTCTCACATCTTATCATCACAAAGCTTTGTTGATAAACAGGCCGGTTTTTGTCGTAATACAGTAAGCTAGATAATACCATACTTACTTTGTTTCTCATAGCTCTGAGTAAGTCTCTCACATTCTCTCCTTTGTAGGTTCTAAATTTTCTGAGATCTAAAAAAATAAATGACACATAATAGTATTGCTTTTATCTCGGGAAACTTTTGGACAATATGAGACTGGTAGTTTTCAGTTATAAATATATCCCTAATATTTACAGAACACCACCATACAATTATCTGTTTTACAGAATGCAAGGGGATCGGTGGCAACATTATGTTGAAATGAGTCCAAAAGTTGAAAAATACACTATTTTTTCTACATCTATGTGAAGTATATATGATGCACACAATACAAGTGTTTCTGTATTTGTTCAAGTTTTCAGGACTTGTACAACCTTGTTTTCTTTCTAGATCAATGTCATGAAATACCATTTACCATTTTGTAATTCTACTGTAATATTTTTTCGCCAGTCTTTCTTGACGACCTCTGACCCTCCTTCCTCCAGCTTCCGTACCACCTCACACTGCTCTGTCTCCTTCTCAGTCCTGTCACTCACATCCTAAAACACAGATGACACAGACTCATGTCAGATCAGACATAACGGTTACTGCTTTATCTATATTATTGTTGCCCCATTTTGGGTCCAAGGGATATTACAGCAAAAAGTCTGAAGAAACAAAAAGTAGAGGCCCTTATAGTTCTAAATAAGAAATATGTTAAATTTGCAAATTTGTTTGCCCTTTCTTTATCAATTTTAGAGACTGTTTGGATCCATATCACCTAAGCATGGTCCTTGCAAAGTTTGAATGAAATAAATTAATTTTCTCTAGAAGAGAAGTCAAAAATATGAAAATTTTATGAACATCAGATGATAACAATCATGAACAAATAACAATATGTGAGTTATGCCTTTGTGATCTAAATATCAACCTTAGGAAATTATTACACAAATTATCCCACTCAGACAGTAGGTATTTACAATTACCATGTTATAGTTCAATAACTATCTTTGGTCAACTTTTCTTCATTGTAAATGTTATTAACAAGCTAAGGATGACAAACTTTTCAGAAAAGTTATTATTTGTTAAAGCTTGATACTTGGGATACAAGAGTGATATTGCAAAAATGAATACCTGGAAGAACATCATTTGCTTTTCCCTGCTCCAAAAGAATGGGTGTTTTAATATCATTTTAGCTGTTGGTCTCCTGGCTGGTTCAATGCTCAAGGCCGCTTCTATTAAATCTCGCCTTACATAGTAATCTAAGAACAAAGCAGAATAACTTACTGTTTTTTTTCTCTGTTCTATAACTCCTCTGCTGCAAATATCTAGGCTCATTTAATGTAAATGCCAAGTGTTTATGATATGACAGAGCAACATCATCATTGGTTGGTATTTCCATGATTCTGTTGTGCTGCTATAGATTACATCAAAGTTATGATGATGTTTTGCTTGATGTATATACATTTTGATATTTGAATACTTGTCAAAGTCTTGCTTGGAACATAAAAAGGAACCTTCTCGAGATCCAATTTTATCAATTATAAAAGTTGATGATAAATGTCAGTGACCTCTGGGTACCTTTTCTAATTCTAGAATTTCACATTATCTATCCTTTAAATCAATATTATACTATATTTTGGGATTATTTACAGGCCAGATAGTCTTAAGTTGGCTATCCTACACCATGTTGCTCTATTGACTTTGTTTTGGTCTTTCCCACCTGTCACAGGTAAACTGTCTAGATGGTGATCGCCTGCCATAATATTGGCCTGTCGTCGTAAAGAGTCTCCAAATGGATGCTTTCCTTTAGTAAGTACATAAAAGAAGACACATCCAGTGGAAAATATGTCAACGCTGCAGGTCTGAAAAAGGAAACAAAATATTACTTAATGCATCATGAGGATGCTTCGACAATGGTCCTCAGGTAAAAACAAATCACCACCCGAGATACAGTACCAAGTATATGTTACATGGAGATATCTTATTCCGTTTTGTATTGGCAATGAATGTCTTTCAAAACACAACAGAAACAGGGACATTATTGGTTTTTTTTACCTGAACAACTTGCTGTTACATTGATCTATCAAATGACATTTTTTTTTTTTTTTTAGCAGAACATTTTCTTCGGGTGTGTAAGTATAGTGTATAAGGGTTAAAAATCAATTTGTCAATTTGGTTGTCTTTTCTTAATTTCACAACTGAGTGTACATTTGCTTATAGTATTGTCAGCAATTTTATTGACTCCAACTCGTACATATTTTACACTTTAGTGTACATACACTTTCCATGTCATTTGCCTGATGAAAATGTCATTTGCCTGATGAAAGTGACAGAGTACATATTGCGCTAGTCATCAAAACATCACACATAAACATTTCACTGGTTGTGCTTAATGAACCTGTATACAATTAAATGGCAGTGTGATAAAAGTTAATGATCTTACAACTCTCTTATTCTCCTCCATCATTTCTGGAGCTATCCATCCATCCGTTCCAGCTGCTCCAGACCTGCGGGAAAATGAAATACGGCCAGCTGCCAACTTCTTACACAAGCCGAAGTCTGAGATCATGGCCCTCACCTCGCCCTTAGCATTGGGCTGGGACAGCAGTACATTGTGGGGCTTGACATCTCTGTGGACTGGAAAAGAAACATCCCCTCTGAACTGAACAAACAGTTGTCACACGAAATACACATGCTTTACTATAACTATAACGTTTGTCATTGTAGCTATATACATAAACACAGATTTATTTTGCAGTTTCTGCTTTTAAAGAATTTATTTTTATCATGAAGTATGTGAAGATATAAATCCAGAATTTAGATTTTTCAGTGACATCTCACTGATATCATATCTTTAGAATAACATTAGAAACTAGCTACCGATATCGAGGGAATGCAGATGTGCTATGCCTGACATGGCCTGGAATAGCAGAACGAGAGGATCCAGCATCCTAGAATATGGAGTGTGCCCCTCCACAAAGTCTTGTACAGTGGCCACACACAACTCCAAAGCTATGTATCGGAACTGGCTGTCAGCCTCCTAAAAATACAAAGAATAAAAATGAGACAAATTCTTCTGACACAGCAAAATCAATTAAAGTTTTTTTTTTGTTTTTTTTTATAATGAAATGAGCCCTTATATTAATTAGATGTCTGACATTTTTGTTGTCAAAATTAAAAAAAAAAATCTGTAGAATGTGGCAATCTTTTTCACTAATAATCAGTTCCTTAACGTGAGTTATCTGGAACAACTTAATGTTTACCCCTCAGGAACCTTTATGGAAAATTTATCAGCATCCAAGTACAAATACCGAAGGATATATATATATTTAAAACTTATGCAAAACCTTTAACCTGAAAATTTTGGCAAGAATAGCTATTCAGAACCAAAAAAGTGAAATAAAAAAAATCTCCAGTCTCACAGCACTATTAATTTTCAATGTCAATAAAATAGTGAAGTCCATAACTGGTCAAAAAAGTGGTTTTACTGTTTTTACAGCACTAGTACTGTATCATCAATATTGTATCTCCTGACAACCTCCATGTACACTAGTACTGTATCATCAACATTGTATCTCCTGACAACCTCCATGTACACTAGTACTGTATCATCAATATTGTATCTCCTGACAACCTCCATGTACACTAGTACTGTATCATCAATATTGTATCTCCTGACAACCTCCATGTACACTAGTACTGTATCATCAATATTGTATCTCCTGACAACCTCCATGTACACTAGTACTGTATCATCAATATTGTATCTCCTGACAACCTCCATGTACACTAGTACTGTATCATCAATATTGTATCTCCTGACAACCTCCATGTACACTAGTACTGTATCATCAATATTGTATCTCCTGACAACCTCCATGTACACTAGTACTGTATCATCAATATTGTATCTCCTGACAACCTCCATGTACACTAGTACTGTATCATCAATATTGTATCTCCTGACAACCTCCATGTACACTAGTACTGTATCATCAATATTGTATCTCCTGACAACCTCCATGTACACTAGTACTGTATCATCAATATTGTATCTCCTGACAACCTCCATGTACACTAGTACTGTATCATCAATATTGTATCTCCTGACAACCTCCATGTACACTAGTACTGTATCATCAATATTGTATCTCCTGACAACCTCCATGTACACTAGTACTGTATCATCAATATTGTATCTCCTGACAACCTCCATGTACACTAGTACTGTATCATCAATATTGTATCTCCTGACAACCTCCATGTACACTAGTACTGTATCATCAATATTGTATCTCCTGACAACCTCCATGTACACTAGTACTGTATCATCAATATTGTATCTCCTGACAACCTCCATGTACACTAGTACTGTATCATCAATATTGTATCTCCTGACAACCTCCATGTACACTAGTACTGTATCATCAATATTGTATCTCCTGACAACCTCCATGTACACTAGTACTGTATCATCAATATTGTATCTCCTGACAACCTCCATGTACACTAGTACTGTATCATCAATATTGTATCTCCTGACAACCTCCATGTACACTAGTACTGTATCATCAATATTGTATCTCCTGACAACCTCCATGTACACTAGTACTGTATCATCAATATTGTATCTCCTGACAACCTCCATGTACACTAGTACTGTATCATCAATATTGTATCTCCTGACAACCTCCATGTACACTAGTACTGTATCATCAATATTGTATCTCCTGACAACCTCCATGTACACTAGTACTGTATCATCAATATTGTATCTCCTGACAACCTCCATGTACACTAGTACTGTATCATCAATATTGTATCTCCTGACAACCTCCATGTACACTAGTACTGTATCATCAATATTGTATCTCCTGACAACCTCCATGTACACTAGTACTGTATCATCAATATTGTATCTCCTGACAACCTCCATGTACACTAGTACTGTATCATCAATATTGTATCTCCTGACAACCTCCATGTACACTAGTACTGTATCATCAATATTGTATCTCCTGACAACCTCCATGTACACTAGTACTGTATCATCAATATTGTATCTCCTGACAACCTCCATGTACACTAGTACTGTATCATCAATATTGTATCTCCTGACAACCTCCATGTACACTAGTACTGTATCATCAATATTGTATCTCCTGACAACCTCCATGTACACTAGTACTGTATCATCAATATTGTATCTCCTAGCAACCTCCATGTACACTAGTACTGTATCATCAATATCGTATCTCCTGACAACCTCCATGCCAAATACCAGCAGTCGTTCAAAGACTTCTGGTTTTAAATGAATCTCAACATCAAAACTTAACCTGCGTCAATGTGGACGCTGACACAAGGCACACTTATTCTTTAATAGGCAACCTAGAAAAAGTACATACAATGCTGACTAAAAAACGAAACCGATCGGTCAATGTACAAGTGATATAAATTAATTTCACTCCAAACATACATCAAATGTTTACAATAAACAGTATATAATGAATATTTTATCCCACAGACGGATGCTATTCTATTTAGTGGACCAATATTTATTTCAGACTGATGATAGATATAAATTCCATAGCAAGTGAACCAATATTCAACAGACTGATGAGTGTTACTACCATGGAGAAGTATCTTATGACGTTTGGGTGCTGATCCGACTCCCTCAAAAGCTCCACTTCCCGGTCAGCAAATGTAAAACACTCGGGTAGAAGTCGCTTGATTGCCACGTCTCGATTGTCAAACCGGCCCCTATTTTTAAATTGTAAGACATAGTTAACCTATATGTTTATCTATATATGGATATAGTATGAGATGATAAAATGATTGTTTTTGTTTGGTTTTTATCTTTACTCTTATTGTTCACATTTTTGTAACAAAAAAAATAAATATCCTTAAAGGTTACACACTTTCTTTATAGTGGATTAAAAATTCTATTACCTGTACACGAATGTTCCCTCACAACCATGGCCCAGCACATCGTTAGGGTTGAAATCTATTTTTCCAACCTTGATATGTCCGTTTGGCAAACCTGTAATTTTGTAAAGAATCTCAATAGTTTCTGCGATTATTCATCAACTTCATTTTAAAAGACTATGCACACTAGGAGTATGGTTCACTTAACCCCTCTTGACTGCTGAATAGAGCCAACTCGAAGAAATATGTTCTTGATCAGTAACAATACTAATATTTGTACAAAGACTTACTGTCATAGTTTTCACCAGATTTTGTGTTTCCACTTCCAATAAATGAAGTTTGAGCTGACTTTTGGTTCTGGTCTAATAGCTGTTGTTCCCTCAACATTCTTTTGATAGACAGCTCTTGTTGCTACAGAAACAGAAAAAAAATATTAATGTTTCTTAACACAATGCTATCACGATTTTTAATCAATTTTCTGACCTAAGAAATCTAAAGCCATAAAACCAACAGGTTAATTTCTATTGCTGATTTTGCCAGCTGTTTTCAATGTTAAGCTTATTTTGTTAATAGCCTCTTCAAACATGTACTCGTTTGAGGACCAATACATGCCGAAGTTTGATAACAAATTGGTGCAGGAATGAAGCCACTAAAATGAGAACTATAAGCTCTATAAATAGTAATGGTGACCTTGATTTTGACCATGGACCACTGGAACACAAACTTATATGAGATAATCTCATGCCTGACCAAGAAATGAAGTTTGATCAAATTCGTGCAGAAATGAAGTTGCTAGAGCATTGACAAAATTTGATCAACATACAAACCAAATGCTATATCCCCTAATAAAGTGACTTTGTCACAAAGGGATGGAAATAATTACATGCAAAATTAAATAGTTATATTGTGGATCTGACAGGTGTTTACCCTTGGAAAGTAGTAGACGATGGCAAGTATGGTGATAATCAGCAGGCCGACTGTGATGAGGAACTTGAAGTCAGACCCAAGATACATTGCTAACAGACTGCTGTCCAGGTCTGTGCTGTTTTTGGTTGGAACACTGTCCACAACTGGTGGCACAGGGATCACTCTGATATCCCCCTCCTCATCAGAATCTTCTGTAATCTGAAATGCTGGTGAGATTCTGGACTTGGATTTGTCTGGGACTTCGTGATAGCCTGAAATGACAGAGAGTTAAATCAGACAATGGCTAAATATTGATGACAACAAAGAATTACAACAACATTTTTTTCTAATAATTATTATTATGAAGTTTACTTATAACACTAAACTGAACATTTATATCCATTCTAGCCTATTAGTCTGCTTCAATATGCAACTGTGTATGTAAATGCATACTCTAGTCCTACTACAAAGATAGAATACTCAACTAACAAACTTAACTGCTTACAGCCAGGACACTGATCTGACAAACTCTTGTCCTACTACAATGATAGAATACTCAACTAACAAACTTAATTGCTTAATTCTACTTCTACATGGTACTGACTTACTTCAACAATTTGAAGATAAAATGTCAGACGAGGAGTGAAACATGGAAAGAGATTGTTTTTAAAAGATACGAGGTGGTCTAATTTGCGTTTGAAAAGTGACAGTAGAGGGCTGATTTGAATAACTCCGTTGTGGGGCTCGAAATAATGTCAGGTGGGAGTTTATTCCACTCTGTATAGTTCGAGGGAAGAATGATGTCTTTCTGGTCTGGGTTTTTGAGTGGGGAATTTGATACGAAAACTGGTGGTTTGTTCGGGATTTTCTAACTGTAGGGATTAATCTGTCTGATTTT